TGGTTCCTTCAGAGACTCTGGTTCCTTCACAGACTCCGCTTCCTTCACAGACTCCGCTTCCTTCATAGACTCCGCTTCCCTCCCAGACTCTGGTTCCTTCGCAGACTCTGGTTCCTTCACAGACTCTGGTTCCTTCACAGACTCTGGTTCCTTCACAGACTCTGGTTCCTTCACAGACTCTGGTTCCTTCACAGACTCTGGTTCCTTCACAGACTCTGGTTCCTTCACAGACTCTGGTTCCTTCACAGACTCTGGTTCCTTCGCAGACTCCCCTTCTGTTAAAGGCTCCCCTTGCTGTTGTGTGTCTTCCGAGCGCCTTCTATCCTCAGGCGGGACTGCGTTCTCAATAGGTTCATCCTCGGTGTGCTTGCCCGCTATGCTCTCGTCGACCCGGTGCGACTGGTCGTGGTGGTCGTCGAAAAGACGGACGAAGGCGTCATGTTGCATTGGAGCGACAATGGTCCCCGGTTCGAATCCCTTCGGTGTAAATTCCTGAGAGAAGTCCTCTTCCAGCGTGGCCCCCACCACCGTGCTCTCGGACTTGCGGAAAGGAGCACGATTCTTGGCCATGCCAGTTGCCACAGACACAAAAAGTGTTTTGGACTCATCAGGGTCCTCCATCCTTTGATCCACTTCCGTTGGTCGATCCACTTCCGTTGGTCGATCCGCTTCTGTTGGTCGATCCACTTCCGTTGGTCGATCCACTTCCGTTGGTCGATCCACTTCCGTTGGTCGATCCACTTCCGTTGGTCGATCCACTTGAGGCCGCGGTGTCTGAACAGGGGCCATGACCTTGGCCGAAGTTTTCTTAACCGCCAAGTTCTTCCCCTTTGCGAGGGTAGTGATTTTCTTGGGCACAATTGCTTTTCCATCCGTCTTGCCCAAAACGGGCGGCGCTGAAGCTTTCACAAGTTGTCCGACCTTTAAGGGTGTCGTTTTCACGGGTGTCGTTTTCACGGGTCCCAGCGTCATCTTGGAAGTAGGCCCCAGCGCTGTCTTCAAGCCAGAGCCTAGTGCCGATCTCGTAGTAGGTCCCAACGCGGTTTTTGCAGTAGGCCCCAGTGCATTTTTCGCGGCAGTCCCTAACGTCTTTGGGGCAGTCACCGACCGCAGGTCTACCGTCTTTGGTGCCACCACGGTTGGCGGAGTGACTGTTGTCGTTCGAGGTGTTTTCAAAGCAGGCGCTTTGACGACTGATTTTGCAGCCGAAACCTTCCCGGCCAGTTTCGCGGTTGGTTTCGGCCCCCCTGTTTTGGCAGGGGCGGTTTTAGATACTGAACCCTTAACAGCGGGCGCAGTTATAGGAGATTTCATTGTTGCCTTGCTCCCAACTTTGGCCTTCATCTTGTCACCAGCTAATAGCCCATGTTTGCCAGTAGGCTGACCTACTACCTAACGAACAAGATCTAACTTAGACGTGGTGTTCTTACTAACGGCCTGGTAAGTTTAGGAACAATCTTCAGATCCATTTACGGAAAAAAAAATTAACCATCCCTAGATCTCGACCATATAAATATCGACTTAGGACTACAGGTGACTTGGAAGATGTGACTACAAATGGACTGCGGGTGGTTCAGAACAACCGCGGGTAAGGAAAAAAGGGCTGGGCGCAATTTCAAAAAAATAATGCACCGACACCAAATCGAAAAATGGGAGAAGGAACGGCTCGAGAAGCTGAACCAGGAAATTACCGCAAAACAGGCTCGGGCAGAAATGGTTCGACGAGCAAAGGCAGAGGAGGCTAAGAAGGTACAGAGTCGCCGGACTCGGTTCTATAGGCGTCCACTGGGTCCCTTCGATGAAACCTTATTAGCAGACAAGGCGGTTGACCGAACCCTTGGTGACCGAACCCTTGGTGACCGAACCCTTGATGACCGAACCCTTGGTGACCGAACCCTTGGTGACCGAACCCTTGGTGACCGAACCCTTGATGACCGAA